AATATATATATATATATATCATTAAAATACACGCATATATATATTATTATTTAAATAAAAAAAATTCGAGATACCATTAAAAATTCATAGAAAAATAATACATTTTTTATAAGTCAATATTCAAATGATACACGTTCTCAAATTTTTATTTTCTTAGGATAGAAAATGAGCCTCATTAGAAAAATTCTCGTGATATTGATTTTCATTAATGAAAAAAAATAAGAAAAAAATAATAATAATATGTGTATATATTTTAGAGTGGAATGTTTTCTGCAGGGGAAAAAAATCAATAGTTATTTATACAGAAATCATTATAAACGCAAGAGATGAGGGTAAATATGGGGGTTGGTTAAACCCATCACCAAATTTTAATTAAAGATATCGATAGGTTAAGTGACGAATAAGTTTTGATTGGTAAGATCAACGTCACTCACACCTGTTCAATGGAGCAATTGGCTTCCTTTCTTTAAACTCCTACACTGTTATATACTTATAATTATAGTACGGTTTAAACGGATATTTAATTTTTCTTAGAGTTTTACGGCTATATTTATACCACGAATTATTTTAAAAACTGGAAAAAAAAGTATTCCTTTCTATCCGTGCGATAGTTTTATGCAGATTTATTTCTATTTTAAATATTACAAAATGTCTGGTAAGTTAACAAATGTTTTTTTATTTATTTTTTTTTATTTTTAACCTTCCTGTTTTACTTGTATTTTGTGTTGTGTAAAAATGTATTAAGTTTTTAGTTATGAATTTTTGGTGTTAAGGTTAAAAAACGTGACTAATTATTCCTATATCGGAAGGAAAAAATTGCGTTTTGTTTTTATTTTTAAATTGATTTATTGTGGTTTATAATTTAATGTATTTTTTTAAGTTTTAGATAAGAGTTTTAGTTGATTTCTTTGTGGTTTTTTAATTTTTATTATACGTTTCTTTTCTGATTTTAATAATTTGTTTGATTGATCTTAGTGCTAAGTCGCTCTCAGTGCTCTTTCTAGCTCGATCTTAGTGCTAAGTCGCTCTCAGTGCTCTTTCTAAGTTTCTCTTAGTGCTCTTTCCAGCTCGATCTTAGTGCTCTTTCTATGTTGATCTTAATTCGTTTTTTGTCTTAATGTTAATGTGCTTTCCATATCGATTCTACTGCCTTCTCTGTCTTGACTTTAATGTTCTTTTTGTATTAATGCTAATGCTCCTTCTCTCTTAATCCTACGCTTCTCTCTCTTTCTCTCTCTTATTGCTCACGCTGCTCATTGAGATCAAGTAAAAAATTACTAAATTACATTACCAGAACGTTATTATATTTAATTATATTTTAGTTTACTTAAAAATATGTTTACTTGAATTCACTTTGTGTAAGACACAATCCCAGAAATTTTAGCAAAATTTTTAAAATATTAGTCGAACTGAAGCGATAAATTAAAGATTTATTAAGTAAAATAATCTCATAATAAAAAAAATAATCAATTATTATAATCATTTAAAATTTATTCAAACAGGAACTTACTCCATTCTTCAACAGAAAATTGTATTACAAACCTCTTTAATTATGCAACAGATTAAGTCTATATCAAGTGCATAATAATTATCATTAATTATATAATAAATCAAGTTTATATGGATTGTTCTCGTGCTTCCGGCATTGTTACGTATAATTTGTGACGTGATTTAACAATACTTGCTGCAATGTTTACTTTTTTTCAAGAAAGTTTTGTTAAATGAATATTTTTATAGAATTTTTATACATTTTTACAACGAGAATTGATTTATGATCAATATTAAATAACATAGAGACGATGATAAAATTTTTCTTTAATTTTAATTTAGCGTTATTATAATCGACTTAAATTTCTAATTGTCTTTAACTGTAAATATCTTTAATTTTAATGCTTCCGTTGTTTGTCTTTCTTATTGCTCCATTAATGGATAGTATTTTTGTTTGTAAGAAAGAACTTTAGTATTTAATTATTAAGGACAGTTGACATACATTTCAAACATAAAAATTTCATTTTATTAAATGTGTTTTCCCGTCTTTAATCAGGCCCGCCAGTAACCGAATGGATAAAACCACCGAACACTGTCAGTTGGTGGCGGGTTAAATAGGATCCTAAGCAACAGGATGGCCACGTGGACTTTTCCGGGTATTTTTACGTGCCTAAAATATCAATAGGGGCCTCTTTTCCGTAGAATTACCTCTTGATTGATCTCCCTTGTGTTGTCTTGCCTTATCAGTCCATTCTAATCAATAATACATTATTTAATATATTTACAATAACTTAAAATAGGCCCTCTTAGAGCCCACAAAACCACGAAAGACAATAAATGAAAACTAGAAAAAATAAAAAATTAAATTGCTGTTTTTTTAATGTAAAATTTAACAATGTTTTAACGGAATTTTGTTTAACTCTAATAAATTTTAGTTATTTTATAAAATTATTATTAATTTTTTTTTAACGAATTTATATCATTTTAAAACCGGATTTATCTAAATTCATCATTGAAGTTATACACTTTAAAATACATTTAAATGAAAATAATGAAAACGTCAGGAAGTCATGCATAATGGAAACTTTCAAGGCACACTTCTTAGTTGTTCAAAATAGTTTGCATTGAGATATATTGAAAAACCTTTATGTTGTTCTTAATAACTAAAAATAAGGCTATTCCATTTGAACGCATGTTTCAATTGAAATAGTTCTTATATTAAAGAAAAAAATAATAATAATATGTGTATATATTTTAGAGTGGAATGTTTTCTGCAGGGGAAAAAAAATCAATAGTTATTTATACAGAAATCATTATAAACGCAAGAGATGAGGGTAAATATGGGGGTTGGTTAAACCCATCACCAAATTTTAATTAAAGATATCGATAGGTTAAGTGACGAATAAGTTTTGATTGGTAAGATCAACGTCACTCACACCTGTTCAATGGAGCAATTGGCTTCCTTTCTTTAAACTCCTACACTGTTATATACTTATAATTATAGTACGGTTTAAACGGATATTTAATTTTTCTTAGAGTTTTACGGCTATATTTATACCACGAATTATTTTAAAAACTGGAAAAAAAAGTATTCCTTTCTATCCGTGCGATAGTTTTATGCAGATTTATTTCTATTTTAAATATTACAAAATGTCTGGTAAGTTAACAAATGTTTTTTTATTTATTTTTTTTTATTTTTAACCTTCCTGTTTTACTTGTATTTTGTGTTGTGTAAAAATGTATTAAGTTTTTAGTTATGAATTTTTGGTGTTAAGGTTAAAAAACGTGACTAATTATTCCTATATCGGAAGGAAAAAATTGCGTTTTGTTTTTATTTTTAAATTGATTTATTGTGGTTTATAATTTAATGTATTTTTTTAAGTTTTAGATAAGAGTTTTAGTTGATTTCTTTGTGGTTTTTTAATTTTTATTATACGTTTCTTTTCTGATTTTAATAATTTGTTTGATTGATCTTAGTGCTAAGTCGCTCTCAGTGCTCTTTCTAGCTCGATCTTAGTGCTAAGTCGCTCTCAGTGCTCTTTCTAAGTTTCTCTTAGTGCTCTTTCCAGCTCGATCTTAGTGCTCTTTCTATGTTGATCTTAATTCGTTTTTTGTCTTAATGTTAATGTGCTTTCCATATCGATTCTACTGCCTTCTCTGTCTTGACTTTAATGTTCTTTTTGTATTAATGCTAATGCTCCTTCTCTCTTAATCCTACGCTTCTCTCTCTTTCTCTCTCTTATTGCTCACGCTGCTCATTGAGATCAAGTAAAAAATTACTAAATTACATTACCAGAACGTTATTATATTTAATTATATTTTAGTTTACTTAAAAATATGTTTACTTGAATTCACTTTGTGTAAGACACAATCCCAGAAATTTTAGCAAAATTTTTAAAATATTAGTCGAACTGAAGCGATAAATTAAAGATTTATTAAGTAAAATAATCTCATAATAAAAAAAATAATCAATTATTATAATCATTTAAAATTTATTCAAACAGGAACTTACTCCATTCTTCAACAGAAAATTGTATTACAAACCTCTTTAATTATGCAACAGATTAAGTCTATATCAAGTGCATAATAATTATCATTAATTATATAATAAATCAAGTTTATATGGATTGTTCTCGTGCTTCCGGCATTGTTACGTATAATTTGTGACGTGATTTAACAATACTTGCTGCAATGTTTACTTTTTTTCAAGAAAGTTTTGTTAAATGAATATTTTTATAGAATTTTTATACATTTTTACAACGAGAATTGATTTATGATCAATATTAAATAACATAGAGACGATGATAAAATTTTTCTTTAATTTTAATTTAGCGTTATTATAATCGACTTAAATTTCTAATTGTCTTTAACTGTAAATATCTTTAATTTTAATGCTTCCGTTGTTTGTCTTTCTTATTGCTCCATTAATGGATAGTATTTTTGTTTCTAAGAAAGAACTTTAGTATTTAATTATTAAGGACAGTTGACATACATTTCAAACATAAAAATTTCATTTTATTAAATGTGTTTTCCCGTCTTTAATCAGGCCCGCCAGTAACCGAATGGATAAAACCACCGAACACTGTCAGTTGGTGGCGGGTTAAATAGGATCCTAAGCAACAGGATGGCCACGTGGACTTTTCCGGGTATTTTTACGTGCCTAAAATATCAATAGGGGCCTCTTTTCCGTAGAATTACCTCTTGATTGATCTCCCTTGTGTTGTCTTGCCTTATCAGTCCATTCTAATCAATAATACATTATTTAATATATTTACAATAACTTAAAATAGGCCCTCTTAGAGCCCACAAAACCACGAAAGACAATAAATGAAAACTAGAAAAAATAAAAAATTAAATTGCTGTTTTTTTAATGTAAAATTTAACAATGTTTTAACGGAATTTTGTTTAACTCTAATAAATTTTAGTTATTTTATAAAATTATTATTAATTTTTTTTTAACGAATTTATATCATTTTAAAACCGGATTTATCTAAATTCATCATTGAAGTTATACACTTTAAAATACATTTAAATGAAAATAATGAAAACGTCAGGAAGTCATGCATAATGGAAACTTTCAAGGCACACTTCTTAGTTGTTCAAAATAGTTTGCATTGAGATATATTGAAAAACCTTTATGTTGTTCTTAATAACTAAAAATAAGGCTATTCCATTTGAACGCATGTTTCAATTAGAAAAAAATAATAATAATAATAAAAAAATGAGGGTGTGGGAACGTAAAAAATAACCAAAAATATTGAAATTGGATGTTAAATAACAAAGAAATGTAGAAGAATGTAAACTGACAAAATGTTTGAAAAATGTAAAATCAGAAAAAAATTTGGTAAAATGTAAAATAACATAAAATTGAGAAATAAATAAGTCGACGAATTACAAAATAAGAAAGAAAATAACGGCAATAAAAATATAAAAATAACAAAAATTTTGTAGAATAAATTGGGAAATATATGAACCAAGAGAATATAAAATAACAAAGAAATTGGAGACAGTTTGGAAGAATGTAAAAATAGAAATAAATAAATTGGAGGAATGTAAAATAACAAATAAATTGTGAAGATGCAACAAAAAAAAAAAAAATCAGTAAATTACTTATTTTTCTTCCCAAATAATAATTTTTAATGATATATATAAAAAAGAACAATTTGAATTTATAAACAAGTTTAAGATTCAAATATATATATATATATATNTATATATATATTTATTAATTGCCAACGTTTTCGATTTGTAGAAACTTAAATTTAAGAAAAATATTTTGAAATAATTACATAAAAAAATGAAGAATTTTGTATAAAAATTCGAATTTAAAAAGCGATCGTAGCTAAGAAATCCAATAATATGAAGTACCAATTACAGAAATAAAATAAATTTAAGTACGTCTGAAGTGCTGGTTAGAAGTACTCCTTCACGTTTGTATTGATGTGAAGTTTTGAAACTCATAAACTAATATAAATTAAATTCATCTTTCAATCTGAAGAAGAAATTATTTTATTCTCTGCATGCCATAAATGTAAAGATGTTATTTTCAATAAAATAATTAAATCACCTTTTATTTTTAAATTTTAATGAATAATTAATAATAAACCGTTGAAAATTATTAAAAATTTTGATAAGAAATAATAGAATGTTTATTCTTTCAAAATATAAAATTTTATTAATTATTTTATTCAGAGTTTATTAAATTACAAACAATTTTATAAAATAAAAAAAATTATTTAAATTAGTAGAAAAAAAAATATCTCACTAAAAATTACATTTTTGTTTCTTTTTGCATCCATGATTAATTTTTATACTAAAAAGTATGTTAAAAATTGACTAACTTAATATTTTTTCTTGAACTGTAGGAAACTTACAAATGATCTCGTTAACCATAATCTATCTGGTTCTTTGCCAATCTTTCGCCTTAGGGCAATTTTTTACGAAAACAACTAACTCTATTCCAAGAATGGGAAGGAGATCAGAAATATCAAATATGGTAAATTCATTTCATTTTATTTTAGATATATATTTTCTCATCCAACAGTAACTGTAGTGTAATACAGATTTTTTTTTTTCCAACAGCAGCAAAATCGGCTTAACAGATCTCTTCGATACTTGATGTCCATGGTCGAAGGTTATGACTCTGATCGAAACGGACACTTGTCCGCTGAAGAACTACTCAACATACCTTTCGTTCAGATGGCGGTAGAAAATCTACTTTCTGCTAAAAACGAGAAGAAAAAGGGTAACTTTTTTGCTTTAAGTAACAATTTTACTTAATTTTTTTAATATTACTTTTTGCTTAAAATAACAGTTTTACTCAATTTTTCGGAGCGACAAACTCACAGACAAGTTTGTACAAATATACGTAAACTTGGTTGTTATTTATACTAGGCAAATGAGTTACTCTCACATTTCTGGTGTTAATACAAGTAGACACGATTTTTCTTAGAAGAATATAAAAAATTAAAGTTTAATCTTTAAAAATATCTTTGGAGATATTGAATATTTGAAGATTATTTTAAAAATTACATGAAATTTTAACCAGTTATATATTCAAACAGGAACTTACTCCATTCTTCAACAGAAAATTGTATTACAAACCTCTTTAATTATGCAACAGATTAAGTCTATATCAAGTGCATAATAATTATCATTAATTATATAATAAATCAAGTTTATATGGATTGTTCTCGTGCTTCCGGCATTGTTACGTATAATTTGTGACGTGATTTAACAATACTTGCTGCAATGTTTACTTTTTTTCAAGAAAGTTTTGTTAAATGAATATTTTTATAGAATTTTTATACATTTTTACAACGAGAATTGATTTATGATCAATATTAAATAACATAGAGACGATGATAAAATTTTTCTTTAATTTTAATTTAGCGTTATTATAATCGACTTAAATTTCTAATTGTCTTTAACTGTAAATATCTTTAATTTTAATGCTTCCGTTGTTTGTCTTTCTTATTGCTCCATTAATGGATAGTATTTTTGTTTCTAAGAAAGAACTTTAGTATTTAATTATTAAGGACAGTTGACATACATTTCAAACATAAAAATTTCATTTTATTAAATGTGTTTTCCCGTCTTTAATCAGGCCCGCCAGTAACCGAATGGATAAAACCACCGAACACTGTCAGTTGGTGGCGGGTTAAATAGGATCCTAAGCAACAGGATGGCCACGTGGACTTTTCCGGGTATTTTTACGTGCCTAAAATATCAATAGGGGCCTCTTTTCCGTAGAATTACCTCTTGATTGATCTCCCTTGTGTTGTCTTGCCTTATCAGTCCATTCTAATCAATAATACATTATTTAATATATTTACAATAACTTAAAATAGGCCCTCTTAGAGCCCACAAAACCACGAAAGACAATAAATGAAAACTAGAAAAAATAAAAAATTAAATTGCTGTTTTTTTAATGTAAAATTTAACAATGTTTTAACGGAATTTTGTTTAACTCTAATAAATTTTAGTTATTTTATAAAATTATTATTAATTTTTTTTTAACGAATTTATATCATTTTAAAACCGGATTTATCTAAATTCATCATTGAAGTTANAGTTAAAATATGAATTTACATCTTTTCTTTGATTTGTTTTGTGAAGTTTATAAGTGGGAAACTGCTGTTAAATTAAACTTTTACTGTACGTAGCTTGGCTTTAAATAGAATTCTTTTCTGTTTGTTTATTTTATACTGAATTAACTGCTTTTAAGAGAAACTTTCATGAATTTTAAATTAATTCCACGCTTTAAATTGCTTTCTGTTTGTGATGTGAAATTGGGTATTGACAAATATTCATAAAAATCGAAGAACTTCAATTGTAATTAGAAGCTAGCACTTATTTTATCGTCTATTTAATGATAAAATGAAATATGTAGAGAAATAATTTATGGATAATTTTAGTGAAGAAAATCATAATTTGTTGTATTATCTTTCTTTAACTTAACAGGGGGATAATGTGACACTATTTAAAACTAAATACATTTCATGCTTTATAAACACTGTTATATGATAATACAATAAGATAATATAATGTCAACAATGTACAGGACCGGATTTAGATTTGTGATTTCAAGCTACAACATACAAGAAGCTCTTGCTCTGCACTAAACAAAACGTAAAATCGTAAGGTATTTCACTACAGCAAGTGTGGCCAAGCCTTATCACGATATGGGCTATACATCGCCTATCAGAAATATACCATCTTCTTTTGAAATGCTTATTGGAGATCCGCATCACTTATTAATAATGCATCTATTTGTAGTTAAAATACTATAATTATCACTGTCCTATACTAAATATCACTGCTACTTTATGACTGACTGATTGACCACATAAACAATCATTTAACTCCTTCGACTTTACTATCCTAAGCTTTTAGTTGTCTGTTCCAGGTTAAGTTGCGAGTTACCTTTATAACTTCTGTGTATTACACTATGTAATAGTCAAAAAACTTACAAAAATATATTTGTGTAGAAAGAAATTGTAATAGTGTAGAAGAGCCGAATGTCATTTTCAAGCCACAGTTTGGCACTATAGCTTCATAGAGTGAGACCCTAATATTCAGGTTATATGTAAATTCCACCAGGTCACGTCAATACATGTGTATTTATATTGATGTATATGATAATATAGGCTAGGCTATACATCAAAGTAATTTCAAACTGTACCAGCATATACATCGATATTGACTCTATGGTACTATATCTAATTAGAATGTCATACCTCAATGGCGCCTTGAGGTATGACACCATTAATATTGTAAATATACAGTATAAGTACTGGTACATACTTCAAGATGTCCCCCAATAAAAATGTCTGACAATACTCAATCTGTCATGAGTAAAAACAAGTAATAACTTTAATAGATACATTTTTAAATTACCCTGTATGTGTATCGTACGACATCTATGAGCATGGCACACATTTTTAAACGTTTCTTATATTTAAATTTTTAAAAACAATCTGAAAAATTTTCTATCTTGCTAACTTTTCAATCCAGATGACACGCGCTGTACACTTTTACTTTCCAAGAAAGAAAAAAAAAAATGCTAGCTTCTGCCAGCACACCAGGACTAAGTGTATAAAACCACTGAACACTGGTCGTGGGTTCGAGTCTCGCCAACTGACTGGGCACGTGGAATTTTTCGGGCTTTCTTTACGTTAGTAACTAAGTAGGACCCGTTTCCCGTAAAAGATCTCCCGGGAGGCATTTTCCCTTGTCAGATTGTACTGTGTTGTGGTGTATTTTTATCGCCCAGGAAAGTCTGTGCAAAAAAATATAGAAATTAATTTTGATACTAAAAACTGTTAAAATTGTAAAATTTTTGTAACAATGTTGTTGAGGCTTTATGACAAATGCATTTATTTGATAAAATTCTCATAGATTTTTAAGTTATAAGCTAGTAACTTATGCAGTCAACATACATTGTAAATTGCCAAGTTTTTATGAGCCAAGAATTATTTTTTCGATTGTTTCATTTCTCATATAAAAAAACATTCCTTTTTGAACATCAGCAACAAATATGTCGATGTTTTCTGTAATATTTCGAACGAAATTAATTTTTGAATTAGTATAATCGATGTTTGGAAACTAAATAACGAGTTCAGACCAACTTTATTGTTAATTACTTTTTAACAAAATCCGCCATTTTGGATTTTTGTATAAATGGTAATAGTTAAATTTCTCAGAAGAAACAAAATAAATACAAGACAAAACAATTTAAAATGCTTATATTGTACTATCTCTAAATGGATGGCCGAGCCGTTACGTTGGCAGCCTACCATTTTAAGGAATCCGGAATCGAATCCGGTGGGATCTAAAACCACAGGAATTTATCGGTGTTAGTCCATCCCGGTTATGTAGCGGATCTGTATTTCACCAACCAGCCCCATTGTGGACCATAGTAGGCTTGCTAAAATAAAGGTCGTCTTAGTGCTCACAGGATGGAAAGAGTTTTAAAAACTACAAGCTGTAAGAAAGGGTATCATATATTATGCATGAATTTTCAAACTATGACTGAATGTCGGATCAGCGCTACCATAAGGTAGTGCTGGTTGCATTCAGGACCAATTTTTGGTCAACAAACGACGAAGTTGCACGGGACAATGAACGAATATCGTTCTTTAGTTTTTTTTATACTTGCAAAATAGACTAGAAGTCATAAATTTTCTGTTATTTGTTGATAATTGGATTTGGGCCTCCTCGGCGATTAGTAAAATGCAACCAGACAGAAAGGGTTCACCCGTCCATGTGCCTCAATATAGGGAGCATCTGAGTAGGATATAATACTTAAGATTTATATTTATTTAACATTATCTCAACAATTTTTTACAAATAAATCACTACCCACAAACATTTTTTACTGTTATTGTGTGAAGTACATTTAATGTTTTATATACTAGAATCTTTTGGCATTGATAAATTTAGTCACTATTTGTGTTTGTATGGTTTATTTTTTAATTTTTCTAAATAATCAAATTTTGAAGCCTATTTCATCAAAATGACATTATGCACCTAGAACAAAAATGTTTAAAAAAAATTTTTAACATCAAATTACCTATTAGGAAGAGAAAAACATAAAATTTAAATCTGAAAGTTACAAAATATAATCAATTATTATTTCTGCAAATTATTTAACAGTTAATAATACATTTGTTAATCATATTTATTTATAATAGATTATATTGTTATGTATGTAAAAGCATATTGTCCAGTCAGCTTTAGGTAGATCCAGACACATTGACGTAACTAAAAATGTCTGCCCGAACAGTTTGAAATGTTTTATTTTTATTTATTACTGTTTTTACTCTGTGGCACTGAGAGAGTCTTTCTATCAAGCCTATTAAGGATTTGGCCAGGTCTATCACTGGGCAGCCGAATGGTGTGGAACGAATTAACTCCCGAAAATTCCTGGAATTTTTCGACTCAAGCGGATTTAATCCCGTGTCCCTCAGGTGGTAGCTGACATGTCAACCGCTCGGCCATCCAGCCATCGTGGACATTTTGAATAGTGGACACGTTGGGATATCATATCGACAGGAAGGAGCCAGCATATTGCTCTGGCGTGCCCAGAATCAAATCCGGGCAGGCAAAGTCTCCAAAACATTTTTCATAGGTTGTCTATCCAGATATTTTGGGCGTCGTCTCTAATCATTCAGCCTTTCCATTGTAGGCCCGGCCAAACCCACAATGGGCCTAGAAAAACGGGCTTCCTTAGCTTCCGTGGGATAGAATGAGCAGGAAATAACTATTTATCATATTTA